TGATATTTTGACACATGTCTACAATACCCAGTGATCAAATCAAGGCAATTAGTATACCCATCACCTCAAGCATTTATATTTTTCTTGCTTTCTATAGTGCGGGTGACCAAACCCAAGGCCATGAGCACAGCAGGGGAGTGCTACAATCTCAGGCATTTTGGTGTTGTTTTCTTGGCTTTTTTTCTTTTTAGTGGAAGTGGGGTTTGAACTCAGGGCCTCACTCTTGCTAGGCAGGTGCCCCTACCACTTGAGCCACTCCACAAGCCCTTTTGTCTCTCTCTCTCTCTCTCTCTCTCTCTCCTCTCCCTCTGTCTCTGTTGGATAGTTTTAAGATAGGGTCTCACTTTTTGCCCAGGCTGGCCTTAAAGCCTGATCCTGGAGACAGAGGTTTCCTAGAGGAGACAGCCACCAGCGCTAGGCTCATTTTTTCCTAATCACTGATTTGATTTTTACAAACAGATATGTAGTGTTTCCATTGTCATTATTTTAAAGAAATTATCCAAGTTTGATTTTCCATTTTACTCAGCAGTTCTCTGAAAGTGCACTTTAAAGTTTCTAGGTGGAGTTGCTGAGTGTAATGGGGCATGTGTATACACCCAGCTACTCAGGAAGCATAGATAGGAGGATCAAGTTCCCAGGCAAAAAGCATGAGACGCTACCTGAAAAATAAGTAAAGCAGAAAGAAGCAAGGCACATGACTCAAATGGTGAGTGCTTGATGCCCTGAGTTCAAACCCAGTACCATTAAAAAAAATTCTATGTGGAAGAACTGTTTTTTTTATTGTATTAATACCTAGTTTGCTATATTATTTAATTAAAATGCTATTTACTTTATTCTACTATTGAGTGTTTTTGTTTGTTTGCATGTTTTGTTTTTTTGAGACAGGGTCTCCCTATGTAGCCTATGTTGGTCTAGAACTTCCCAACCTCCTGCCTCAGCCTCCCAAGTGCTAGGATTATAGGTGTGCCACCCTCTTGTTTTTTTTTTTTTTGAGACAGTGACATAGAAAGCTATGTCACTCAGGCTGGCCTCAAACTCACTAGTCAAGGTTGGTTTTGAACTCATGATTCTTCTGTCTCAGCCTCCAGGGTGGTGGGATTACAGGTGTCTGCCAACACACTCTAGTTTACTTTTATTTTTTTGCCAAGCTGGAGTGAGCCCAAGGCCTCATGTATGGTGGGCAAGCACTCTATTCTAGAGCTATACCCCATCCCTAATTTTTATTCCTTTTTATTGCAAACTGAGCAGTGTGATGACTTCATTGCTTCTTATTTGAGAATAAAACAAACAAGATATACAATGAAATCTCTTTCAATGATGCTTTTATTTCTACTAAAAGTTTGCCTAGCCAGACACTGGTGGCTCACACCTGTAATCCTAGCTAATCAGTAGGATCGTGGCTCAAAGCCAGCCTGGGCAAGTAGTTTGCTAGAGTCTATCTTGAAAGACCCTTAACAAAAAAATGCTGGTGGGGTGGCTCAAGGTGTAGGCCCTGAGTTCAAACTCAAGCATTGCAAAAAAAAAAAAAAAAAAATCTTGCCTAGGTTCTAATTCAGCGACTTTTATTGGTTTTATGTTATTAGGCAAATATTTTACTCTAAGAATTTAGTCTTTGGTATAAGACTGAAGTTAGTTGTAGAATTTGTTTAAAATCCAAAACTTTAATTCACTAATTCAATACAAGTGCTTTTGCAAAAATAGCTTTGTCTCATCACCATCACTGTCTAAACGCATCACAGCAATGACATCTGCTTTTGGTGTATCTCGCTGCTTGCTCTGTGCTTAACACTTTACATATATGACGTCATCGAATCATGGGAAGTTCTTTTTAAAGTCTCTTCGAACTCCAGAATGTTGGTCTCAGATTCCTCTTGGCAGTGCACACAGCGTTCTCCTCTTATCAGGACAATGCTTCCAGCCACTGGGCAAGGGAGCAATTAGCCAAGGTTTATTTCTGTTGGTTTCCAGGGCTAGCAGGAAGCAAGACCGGCCTGAGATAAGGATTCAGGCCTTTGTGGGGTGGGATTGGACTTCAGGACAAAGAAGAATGGGACTGTTTTCCTGGTCAGCTATTTTCATAGCAGGCTGTACAAGTGCTCCCAAAATGGTACACAACACTGTAGCAAAAGATCGTTCTGTGAGGTAGGCAGACATGGCACCCTGACCTTTGGGCGTGTTAAGCTAAGCCAATGGCCTTTTGTCTTTAGTAGGAATATTGTTAATAACATAGGGGCAAGTGATAAAATGCCTTAACCTGCCTCAGATTAATGAATGTCACATCTGTTTGTTCAGATGAAGATACTTCGTGTTGATTTTAGAATCATGGGTCCCCTCCCGCCAGTCAGGTAATACTATTCTCTCCTACTGTGATCAGGGTCCATAAATACATGATACCAGTGTTTATTCCCTTCTGTGTCCACGGCAGAGAATCAGTCTCTAATCCTTGCCAAACCTAGTTGTAGCCACACAATCATCAATATGGCATCCATCAAAAGATAAGACTGGAAATAGCTCCTTGGATAAAATCTATTGCCATTCTTCTTCAGGCACTGTTTTTGTTTGTTTGTTTTGTTTTGAGACAATGTCTCCTTTTTATAGCCCAGGCTGACCTCGAACTCATGGTTCTTCTGCCTCAGCTTCAGAGTGCTGAGACTATAGGCATGAATACTATGCCTATTTGGCTTTTTTTTTTTTTTGGCCTTCTGGATGCAAAGATAAAGACATGCAAATCATAGTGTACTGTGAGATGTAGGAATGTACACAACTCTCCTTGAGTGTAACCTGTGCTGGGAGGGAAAGGAATTGCCACTGAATTTAAAGACTGGTGAATTTCATTCCTTTAATGGCAGGAGGGGGCTGGACTCACTGGGTTCCTCAGAGCACTGTCTTTGTCAGTGACTCTTGGTTCATCTGTTGCTCAGTACAGTGTGCAAGGACAAGTGGACAGTCTATTAGGGTAGTTCTCACCTGGAGCCACAAATCACAGGTGCGCTTTCACTTTCATGAACTTGCAAAACTTGCTTACCACCCTGGAGTCTCTCAGGTGGACTGTTGAGCCCAATGGACCATTTCCTGTGAATACAAAGACTTGATGTAAATCAAAGCTAAGATAGGTCATATGACATCATGCTGCATTATCTTACTATGTCTGGGTTTTGGCACATGGGAGAATGTAGGCACACCCAGGTTCATGGTAACACTTTCCCAGACACATCAGAGTGTGAGCCATCTGTTTACACGCTCAGTGCTGTGCATCAAAAGAACTAGGTGTGTCTCTGTTTGGCTTAGCATTACATATTAATTTTTCCTTCAAACTATAGAGGGTCTGTTTCAGGGCTCTTGCTACTAGTCCTATTTGCATATTTTAAACTAGGCATTAATTTAATATCCAGACTGGCATGCCTGGGAGAACCCACAAGTAATTAGGTAATTCAGTGGAGGTGTCTGAAAACATTTTGGGACATACCTCGTGACTCTCAAGTGAGCAAGACACAACATGGAACAAAATCTTTGCACTGAGGGCTTGTAGCAGGGATGCTAGAGGGGAGCAATAATTAGGAGATCATTTGGGACATTCTCTCCAGAGGCTGTTGCTGTGAGGATTTGTGGCATTTACTTGAAAGAAAGCAGCAGACCCAGGTCTGTTCATGGAATGGACATGAATAAAATGCGTAGAAGAGAGGACGATACAAAGCTCTGTAGAGAGCACTGTAAACCCCAGAGCCCAACTTCTCCCTGAAACTGACTCTGATGCCCTGTGCTAGCAGGCAAAGTGGTCCTGTGAAGATGCCCAGGACCTAAAGAATCTTCTAGCTTCATAGACCAGTGTTGTGACCCAAGCCATTACGAATAGATGATGCAAACATAGGTACTCCAGGAAGTGATACCTTCAGAGAGGGATGACCTAGGAACATACGAGTGACTTGTAGGTTGGTAATGCTGCTTTGTGAAGAAATGCACAATAAAATATGTATTTCAATACCTTACCCACCTCACCCTAGTACTCACAGGGTTTTAAAAAATAATTGTCCCAAATTGTGGCTACAATTTACAAGTAATTTTCCCATTAGCATGAATGCCTTGTCAAATTTCTAACTCTTGTTCCTTAACCATTTAGTTTGGGCCATAAGCACCACGTGTACTAAGCAATCCAGGCAAGATTCTGCAGCCCCACACATTTATGAAGTTAGATCTTTTAAAAGTTAAATTTGATGGTGATAGAAAATGCTTTAAAGTCACTCCTTGTTTGGGTAGTAATAGTGAGGTGATGCCTTTTATGTAGCAGTTCAAGTACCTTAATAATACTGGAATAGCAGCAAGAGGTGAGTGGGAGTCCTGACATCATCCTGGGCCTAGGGGGATTGAGTCTTTTGCTGGAAAACCCAGCTGGCAGCCGCAGGACGTATTCCCAAGGATCCAGTTTTCGACTCGCACAACCTGTGGCGGTATCATTCCACAGAGGCAGCGCCCTACTCCCCCGCATCCAGGAGGGGGACGAGCACAATACTGTGCATTGTTAACAATCCGTTCCTCATCTTTCCAAACGACCTTGAGGTCTGGGCCGCTACAAGACGCTGTAGAAAACCCTGCTCCAGATTTTTAAAAGTCATTTAATCAGAAGTCTTCGTTTTGCAAAGGGTCCACCGGGTTAAGTGACTCGATCAAGGTCCGGTAGCTCATTTGCTCAGCTGCGCTTTCTCCCACGAATGCTTCTGAAATAGGCCAGAGAAGTGTCTGGGACAGTTGGTGACCCCTTCCTTCCCAAGTCTCAGGCACGCAAAGGGTGGTTAACCGCATTCCGAGTTAGCAAGCCCCTCCCGCCACCTGCGATGTTCCGGAAGGCGGAAAGAAAGTTGGGGTGTCCGTGCTGCTGCAAGGCGCGGTACTGCCCCGCCTCCCGCGCGGGCGGGCGCGCCCCACACTGGCCGGGAGCGGCGAGCGCGGGACGCAGCGGGCGGGGAGGGCGCGGGGCGGGGTTTGCAGCTTCCGAGCGCCGAGGAGCGGAGCGCTCGGCTGCGCCCTGAGCCCTCGGCTGCGCGGCAAAGCCCAGTGGAGACCCAGCGGGAGGCGCGATCGGGGGAGTGCGGCAGACGGGGCGCCGACCTGGGGCGGCCCCGGCCCGCACCCTCGCCCCTCGGCCGGGCGGACAGCGGGTGAGCGAGGCCGCGGGGCCCCAGCGCCCCGGTGCGCCCCACAGGGAGCGGGCGGGAGGGGATGGGGCCGGGTGAGGAGGGGAAGGTCCTCGAACAGGGGCGGGGGTGGTGTGGGGGGACAGGAGCCGACCCGATGTCGGGGTCCGAGCCCAGCACGGGAAACTTTGTCCGCGGAGGGAGCGCGGGGTGCGTGGAGGGCGCTGCAAACTTGTCAGCGGGCGGGGCGCTCGGAGAATCCGAGCCAGCGCCAGCGGGTGGCGTTTGTCTCCGCGGCTTCTTTGTGTCACCTCCGGGCCCTAGCTCGCGGGTCCGCCCGGCTCGGGAAGGGGCAGCGCGGGGGTTTTTGGGGGGGTTCGGTCCGGGTCCCCCGATCGCCCCCGCCCGGGCCCAGGCCCCAGCGCGCGAGGTCGGCTGATTGTTTTCCTCCCTCGCGTCACGCCTGGGCGGGAAAGATTTTGAACGCCGCGTGAGCTGCGGCGCTAGGTCGCCCCGGGGACCGGGAACCTGCAGGTCGGGCGCACGGGGACCCGCGGGCCCTCCGGGAACCGCGTCCCGGCGGGGGAGGTGGGGGCGCTCGGACTGCGGGATCGTAAGTCCCTTTGGATTGCGTGGGTCTTTGTTGTCGGTCTGACGGCAGCACCCCGTCCTCCGGAGCTTATTTTCCTTCTGGTCCAAAAAGGCGCGCGCGGGGGGCGTGGGTCCGGGTGGAGTCCGCGCTGCTGCGGACCACCTGGGCCGCTGTATTAGATGGGGTCACGAGTCCATGTACACCTACCTTTGTGGACGCCTGCGATTTCCCAAAGTTATTATTTTCCTCCCCTAGTGGAAGGGAGTGTCTGAGCTGGGTGCCAGCAGGCACGGTTGTACCAACACCTGCAAGTGAGAGCCAAGCCGGAGGTGCTTTCTAGCCGCCCATCATTGTGTGTGTGTTGCTCTTTTTTCATTTTTAAAGTTTGATTTGAAGCAACTTTCAATCGGCTTTTCCAAAAGTTTCCATAGCCTGAAGGCCTGGTTGCCAAATATTATGTGGCTGTACTGGGGTAAGTTACATCGCTTTTGAACACACCTGGCCCCCTCACCACCCAGGTACCCTAAATGTCATCAGGCCAGTGTTCAGTTTTTATGGGATAGAATTTTTGATGTGTTTACATACTTGAATGGATGACTGCGTTTCTAGTTTTCTTTCTGGAAAACCACTGAGACTCCCAGGAGCTTCTCCTGAGATAATTACTATATGGCCTCAGCCCCGCCAGCTCCTTCTCCCCCACCAGCCCCTGGTCCCCGGTCCCCAGGGGGCGTGGGAACAGGTGTAATCCTCATTAAGTTTTCGTGGTAAAACTCTGGAGATATCAAAATGAGTAAAAAGTGGAAATGTTTAGGTCCACTCGGAGTTCAGGAGTTTGTATGTGAATAAAAAACATTCAAGATCAAACCAACTTGAATCAGCTGGTCTTGTACAGTAAGACATTAAGATTTTTAAAAAATCGTGTGTGAGGGCTTGAGGCGTGGTAGAGTACCTGTCTAGCAAAGCGTGAGGACCTGAGTAAATTGCAGTACTACAAAAAAAAAAAAAATCATGAGAATAGGTTTACCCAATTAGACATTTTATTAGCGTTTCGGTGGGTTAGTGGTTGTGTGCCAGGGACTGCAGTGTGTTTAAAGGACTGAGTCACAGTGGGTTCATTCTGGGTAGTGCTCTCAGTACCATAAGGTGAGAGGTTAGCTATGTGTCAGTGGCTCATGCCTGTAATCTTAGCTACTCAAGAGGCCGAGATCAGGAGGATCATGGTTGGAAGCCAGCCCTGGCAAATAGTTCATGAGACCCTATCTTGAAAAAAAATCCATCATAAAAAAAGGGCTGGTGTAGACGCTTAGTTCAAGCCCCAGTAGTGCAAAAAAAAAAAAAAGAGTGCGAGTTAATGGAAAATTCAAAAACCAAATCATCCCCTTTAATAAATGAGGGAGGATGAAAAGCAATCCTACTCATTTGTCATTATTCAGTTGTCACTATTCATCATATTGTTTTAAATAGAGATGAACTCTCCTGTCATATGCAGCCACTGTGCTGGACTTGGGGGGAGGGGAGGATGCAAATAATCCTGGCTGCCAGTCACAGAATGCTGATTTTGTAGCAGTGAGTCTTTTATGCAGATACCTTGTTTATTGAGTGTCTACAAGGTAACATGCTAGGTGCCAGGGTTTAACATGCAAAAGGCAGCTGTGGGTTCCTTCCCTTATCTAGTGGGGAAGACAGAAAATAAAATACATTATTAAATTAATCACAGGTTTTATTTTATTTTATTATTATTTTTTGCAATGGTGAGGATTGAATCTAGGGCTGCGTGCATGCTAGGCAAGTGCTCTGCCTTTGAGTTAAACTCCTAGTCCTTTTTGTTTTGGGACAGGTTCTCAAAAGTTGCCTAGGCTGATCTTGAACTTGGGATTCTCCTGCCTTAGCCTCCAGAGTAACTGGGATTACAGGTGCCCACCATCATATCCAGTTTAATCACAGATTTTAAAACATAAATCAGATTACATCCCTCTTTTCCCAATGGCATCACACTCCCTCTGAGTGGCACAGGGCTAACAGTCCCAGGCTGCCTTGTCCTGTTTTCCTGCTCCTCCATCCTGGTATCCTCCTCATCTTACCTCTGCTCCCCTCCTTACCCAGCTGCAGCCAAAGAAGCTTTCTTGTTTGAAGGTCATTGGACTTAGCCATGCTCTGCCTGGAATGTCCCCCACCTTAGCTCCTCCATCTGACCCCCTTTGCTTTGCTCCATGTTATGGTCTCTGTGAGCCTCCACTAACTCCAAGTTCAAAATCGCAATCACCCTAGCCACTCCCAGTCCTCCCTTCATAACTAACTTTTTAATTCCTGTCCCACATATTGTAGTTACTCATTTGTTTGTCATCTGTCCTCCTGTACTTGATGGTACATTCCATCACACTGCCATCAAAGCCATTTTAGTCACTGCTGCATCTTTAGAATGTGGAGCAGTGTCTGGCATACAGCAGTCCTCCATAACTGTTTGTAGAGCAGAAAGAAGGCCACAGTGGGATGCTGAGACAGGGTAACCAGAGGCCCTTGGGTTTCTAGTAACTCAGTGGAAGAGCATTTGCTGAGCACGTGTGAGGCCCTGGGTTTGATCCTCAGGACTACAAAAACACAAAAATCTCCAAATAATAAGAAAAAACCCCAGATTTGCTTTCACCTGTACTAATGACCCATGTCAAATGTTCTGTTTTTTACTTAGAAATGATTATGTCTAGAATAGTATAAATAGTGTAAAATCACTGAAATTCTTCATAAAACTGCAGGTCTTGTTCTTTTTTGATTATTTTCTTAAATTGTCTATGCTTTTCTGTTCTGTGAAACCATCTCCGCTCTTGGTGCTTTTCTGTACCTTTTCCTTCTTCCTTACACAGTGATGGCTTTCTGGCTCTGTTGATTTGTCTGCAATTTTAGAATTTTACATGATTGGAATTGTACAGTATGTTGTTTTCTTTGCCTGACTCTTTTCACTTAATTTCTCTGAGATTCAGCCACATTATTGTGTGTGTCAATAGTTCAATCCTTTTCACTGCTGACTAGTTTTCCACTGTATCGCTATAATTGGTTCTTTTATCTACTCACCATAAACATTTGGATTATTTCTGTCTCTGGCTATTTAAAATAAAGCTGCCATGAGCATTGCGTATAGTGCTTGTGTGGATACCTGCTTTCATCTCCCCTGGCACAGATGTCCAGAGAATGGCTGGCTCATATGGTGGGCCTGTGTTTAACTTTTAAAGAAACAGCCATACTTTTCCAACATGGTTATATCATAGTCCACGAGAATCCTGGTTCTTCCATCCTCACTGGCACTTGGTGTGTCAGGCCTTTCACAGGCTTTTCCTCCACTAGTAGGCTCTTACGGTGGTTTGATCTGAATCTCTGATGACCAATGGCATCCTGCATCTTCTTATAGACTTAGCACCCACACTTCATAGTTAACATGCCCAACTTTCTGCAGGTTTTGTCTTGTGTTGAATGGTTTTGAGGGCACTTTGCTTGTTCAGGCTGCAAGGCCTTTATCACATAGCTACATGATTTCCAAATATTTACTTTCAGTTTTATCTGCGTATGTGTTGTCCTGCTATAAAAGAATACCACAGACTGAGAAATTTATAACGAACAGACGTGTAGGGACCTGCAGTGCTGTGTAAAGTTCAAGATTGTGGGACTGGCGTCTGAAGGTTGTGTCATCCTGTGGTAGAAAAGCAAAGAGGGTGAGAGCTGAGCTCACTACGCCAGCTTCAACCCATTCCTCACCAGTAATCACCTCTTAAAGAACCCCCTCTTAGTACCGTTACCATGGCAATTACACATCAACAGCTTTGGAGGGACCCTTCAAACCATAACAGTGTCTTTTCCTCCCTTCACAGATACTATTCTTAATTTTGATGAAGTCCAACTTATTAATTTATTCTTTATGGACTGTGGTTTTGGAAGGGACATCTAAGAAATCTTTACCTAGCTCAAGGTCACAAAGATTTTCTCCAGTTTTTTTTTTTTTTCCTGAAAGATCGATAGTTTTCGGCTCTTCCACTTTGAGTTAGTTTTTGCTTCTGGCCAAGTATGAGTGGACGTTCACTTCATCCTGCCAGGAAGATTTGGCAATTTCTGGAAACAAAGTTTGGAGACAATGTCCTGGCGGGGGGGGGGGGGAGGGACATTGGCTACCAGCATCTACTAGAGGTCAAGAATGATGGTAAACACCCATATCTCAAGAGACCCTCGATAGAGTCATTCAGCCGAGACGTGGGGTTTATCAACTTTATTGAGCTCAGTGAACCAGCCTTTGTTTATGTTGACATTCTGTAATGCTTCTCTTTTCTACTTAATGGATTTTCACTCTGCTTTCTGTTTTCCTTCTTCTAGTTTAATTTGCTCCTATTTTAGTGTCTTTAGATCATTGATTTGTTGCTTTTGTTTGTTTTTTGGCAGTACTGGGGTTTGA